GCCAGTTGCACCAAGTCAACCTAGACCAATGTTTTACATGTAATTTCTGTTTGAACTGCAGATGAAGGTAATCCAAGTATTTTAAGCCAAACGGGATCACGGCTATTCATTACTCGTATGGTAAGTTTATCGATGTTGATGAACCATTCAGAGGTTTGTGGGTACATATATTTTTGAAAAATCGAACGTTTTTCCCGGATAAGATTGCAAAAATGCAACTCATGAATTTACATGTTATATTTCACTGATTCTCGTGAAAGATGGCTTGTTCGATAACATCTTACCACTTAGTTTGATGGAGTTCTTAGGGAATCATAGAACCAAGTTCAATTAAATCTAGACCAGGTTTAGAAGTTCGCCGTTAGCAGACAGACTGATCCACTGCTGTTGTTAGCGAAACCCGTGTCATCGAGTAAGGACTGAAAAGACAAACAATCTAAATTTTGTCGCTTTAATATGCTTCTACTGACTGAACTATCCACCTTTTTCCACAGATGCTTGCATCTTCACTCATTTTACTGGTATTCCTATTTCGTAAAAATTATCACTATATTGAGAAGTGTGATTGTGAAAGTTGTATGATAAAATCGATTGCGTAATAGCATGCCTTAACTTTCCCACTTCAAGTAAACTGTCTGCCAAAACTCTGGTCTACCATCTTGGGCTGCGCCAAGGCATATTATAACATGGTGTAACAAGGACTACAACACAGTATAGGATACTTGTACTTCAACGGCCTAACAGTTCAAGTCAATAAACAAATATAATCATTTATATAAGTCCTTTTTCAGGCTGCGCGGTACCAATATTGCTCCTGCGGCGGCTTCAGTGCTTCAAATACGTTCTGCCGAATTCCCTGTGGCCGATAGCTTGCTTCCCTTGGGCATCATTTCTATTCGGTTGGCCCGACTGTCTCAGTTGATGGCTTGATTCGAAGCCCCTCACCTGGGCTATCTTGCCGGCTGCCGGAGATTCCGCTTCTTCCCATCCGCTAGTCCGTATGCCTCCTTTTGTCTGCTTAGAAAAGCCTCCGACATGTTCGTCGTCTGTTCTTTTGTCTGTGGCCCTCGGTTGGTTCGTCCGTTCGCCTTGATCTCCACGTCGCTGCCTTGCCCAAGAATTCCCCGTTACTATTGTTGGAGGTAAAACGAACGGGTTTCTCACGACTTTTGTCTCGGACATAGCAGAGTCATGGAGCCTTTTTGTACGCGAGCAACTTCTAGTTAGAATTCATTGCGGAGCAACCTACTTGTACTCATTGGAACTTACATAAATACCGTCGTAATATTCCAGAACATTGGGGCTGTAAAGTACTGTTCACATCATAGGATCGAGTTACAAAAAGGAGCCCAACAAATAGTGACGTATTCGAATTTGAGGGAAGATATACTGGCGTATTCGGAAACCATAAACCAAAATCTCTAAGGAATTTGTTTCCAGATTGAACCAGTCACTAGTGAATTCTTCCTAGGTTCGTCTGTCGAAGCTAGGATTTGTTACGCTGTTTGTATCCCACAAGTAAATTTTACTCGTACCAAAAACCATCGAATTCAGTTTACTTCCTGAAACCAAGCTCCCACCTATAACACAAAGGCATAGCCCACGTGGATTTAGCGTGTATCCCTCTGGTCCCCATGTGCATCCTAGTGTTATCTGACTTACCCGTCCCACTCGAAATGCATCAGTTGTGTATTCACCTACTGGTTTCCACGCCAGCGTGATGGACGTCACGATCAATGTAATTTATGTTTGAATCAAAACTCCATGTGAATCTTGGAACACTGGTTTACCTCAATCACACCAACAATCCTGTTTCCCTCACTCAACTCCCAACAACTTGAGTGTTCGTTTCCCTTCGCCCCATCGCCCGACTTTACACAGTGATGGTGGTCGGTCGCAACTTGTCACTTTCTCAAGCCAACATTGAGCCCTAAATTTGACATGTAAATGACCTGAGTGATCAAATGTCCCCCAGTTAACAAGTACAACTGAATATCTATACACCATTAGCCAGCAGTCCACAGCGTGATGTGTGTACTCCGTTATCCTTGTCTGATTATTTCTTAGTATACGTTTTTACGTTTCCCAATTTGATAATCCCGCTTTGTTTTTCGAATCACTGAACAAATAGGACGACATCCCGGTATAATCAATTGGACTTTTCTCCGCCAGTATGGATTAAAAAACAACCTGGCTACAAGTCAAGTAATATTCATTGGTAAATCCCACTTCATACAAACGGCAAATATCACCTGACTTTGACAATGAGAACGCAAGTTGGGTCTTGTGATCTCTGTCACTCACTACCAGTATTCTTCTAGTCATTCGTAATCACATTAAACTAACATTGATTATTCCCCATCACAATAACCCAAATGGCCTTGCAAACGCGAGCTGTTTGTTTCCAAGTTCACATTGGGAAGAAACTCTCCTTTTCGCTTCCATTCGCATTATTGCACATCATAATGGACATTGAAGAAAAAACTGAGTGGTGTTTGAGACTTCTGCCATCTAAATAACTGAGCAAAATTCTATCACCTTTCTGTTTTCCCAGCTCCAATGTGCTCCTCTATTTCAGTACTTACGCACTCTGAATGTCGGATGAATAGAACAAGCGGAGGTGTACAAGAAGAGTATTGACACAGTCCTACCGAACCCCTATTTTAATTGCCCACGGCAAAACATTTTATCATGCATATAATATAACCAGTCCAACAGTTCTGAAGGGAATAAATACATTTGGCGTGAGCACATTCTAGAATATGTGTCATGCATCTCCTCACATCAGTGTTATCAAACCAGCTCACTTGTTAATTTTCACCAGTAGCGAATGGTTGTTAAAGCTGCTAGATAGCCGAACAATGACTAAATTTACAAGGAAGTACAGTTCATCACATACAACACTTTATTGTTCTCAGCTGGAGGTGTAAACATAGTTCAGGTTATATGTACATAGCATTATATACATAAATATGTGCATATTAAAAATTGGTATCTATATATAATCTCGGTAAACTGCCTCTTATGACCTTGGGGCGAGTCATGCTCACTTTGAGAACCAAATCCAACTAACATCAAATAATGCTCGACGGATAATCTTTTCATACCATTTTTCACACTATAAACTGGCTATTCTTGTTTATCATTCAATCAACACCAGATTCGGTTGAAATTTCCTGCCGAGTACGGCTGTCCGAGGACATGTACAGTACTTCTCAACCAACTTAGCCTGGTGATCATTAGTTTACTGTCGAACAATTTGTTTCGTGCGTGTAAAAACTGCTGAAGTGCAGTTTCATTCCTGAAGTGAGTATTATTACAGAGATATCGTTTTTTCAGAGGTCAAAAATGAATTTTTTAAAGTTCCTTCTCCGGTGAATAATCTTCAGAAGCTTGAGGGAGAACTGGCATAACATTTTCTCGGGACCCGATAAAGGAACGGATGTCATGTCAATGTAATAGATGACTAAGGTTAGCAAAATACCAAACGCGCATTCAATATATATCATGACACTTCAACCAGAGTTGCGATACAGATCACATCATTCAATTCATCATTGTCAAAAGCAAATAGGAAAAAACGTGGTGTATTTTTGCAAATTTGGTTCACTTAGGCGAGTTCAAAGTACAATCAGACCACTTTCGGTGGAGCATTGTATTCAGTTTTCCTAAATAATTATTATCAATTCGATTACCGAATGGGGCTTTCATAGATCGGAATTGAGATACATAGTGAATGTTGAGGTTTAAACATTTGTAGAATATATGGCATTGCTGCGCGCAGCTTCCACATTAAACTAGCTGAGTTACCTACAGAAACAAAGTGAATCCAATAGAGGATGTAGTCAAATTCTCTTTGGTACGGAATATAACACAAATAGCCCCATATGGAAACCAAGTATTCAAAGGTGATCGATCGCGGTGTCATCCAGGTAGACCGGGTCAGCTGTTAGACTATCGTCCACGGTAAACGGGCGTAGCACAAATACTGGACTGGGAAAATGGGGAACACGGTCACTTTAGTGTAAATAAACAGCAACTTCTGTGCATAAGATCGTGTAAAATATGAGAACAGACTCAGTTATGGGCGACGAAAGCAACAATGGGTTAAAAACATGGGGAAAGTCAACAATGAGGGCTGAATCTAAACTCACGCTTCCGATGGACTGTATGCCGGCCGCAAATATCCGTTCTCACTTATGTACCATGACTTTGTGGGGTGTATTACAACGTAGATAGACATTTAATTAAAAGGATTATCAGTTACCCAAGATTCCAGACTTGAAGGTCGTAAACCAAAGTTACAAAGAGGTCTGGTGTTTTTCTTGAAACCCTCGTTGATAGTGATGCTCGAAATTCTATGGTTCCACAAATAAATCTAAGAAAAAAAAGAATTAAATATGAACTTTTTACCTCCCATTGCAATTCAACTAAGCCACTAGTGGAACTAGAAATTTCATAAGTGGAACACGGTTTGGCTGAAAAACTGGGTTAAGTTGTATTTATTGTTTAGTTTCCAGTGGGTGAACACGGTACACAAACTTCGAACTGGAGTTAGACTCACATTGTGAGGGTACTTGTCAAAGCTCTAACAGCTTTCCTAATCAAAGTGATTATTAGGCATTTCACGTGATGATACTGTTCTAAGCAAATCCGCTTGCTGTAATCTGATATATTTGCAGTGAATCGTAAAAAGCATCTATCACAATAATACTCTAATTGAAACGGCTGTTGCTTAAAATAGTAATGGGACTCACAGGACAAGGTGCACATGCAATAACCAGACACAGTCATTCATAGTGGAAACTCTCGCGCTTTACTGTTATCCAGTAGGCGAAACGGAATGTAAATTAAAAACACGTGAAAATGCAACAAACCAATAGGCAGTTGAATTCCGTGGATGAAGATCAGCTGAACATTGCTGAGTCTGATTATTCATGAAGTATATAAATGATGGTGTTTTCGAAAGATATAGATCAGGTTAAGTAATCGAATACACCATGAAAACTCTCTTACTTTGGGGAACAATCTTGCTGCTCATATGGCTTTGCGTGGCCGAAGGTGAGTGATTATGAGTCAGTAGAGATGGATGAAGTACGTAGCATTTTAAGTAATAAAACCTGAATCAGAAACGATTATTTTCATCACCGTAAAATAGGATGATGAGTGAGTGTACAGCATAAGATGATGTAGGATTTCTCACAGCTAGCTCACTCAAAACGTACCCCTCAAGCCCCCAGTCTAGTTTCAAATTTTCTCCCAATTTACGATATCCGAACCTTAGCGTCCTTTACTGCTCCGTGCTGAACAAACATCCCGTTCTCCGTTCGTAAACTTACGAACCTACAATTTCCTGCCTCTCCAGATTCCTAGGCAACTAGAACACTCAAGTGCTAAATGGTGTGAGCTGAAACGTTCATTCATTCGTACTTCTAACTGCATCTCACTATTCTCTTATTGGAGTGGATATATAGTGTCCAAATGTGGATCTTCGGGTCTATAAAACAGTTACTGGATTTAGTTTTCATGAGAGTAACAAACCGTAGGAAATAATGTGTTATAGTAAATAAACCAAGGTAATTTGATTGTTCATCAAACTACACACTAACTCCATTAGTTATATCGTCGCTCAGTGAACAAATACTTAAACAGTAGAATTCTCCAGACTGATTTATTACAAAAACTCTTCATTATTATGGAGGAAATGAGTGATTGAAGGAATCAGTTTAAAATGGGGCAAGGCAGAATGGAAGTACTCATCGGTACGAGATACACGCCAAATATCTGTCTACATAGCCGAATAATTTCGGTAAATATTGAGCTACTTTCTGGGTATTTTATTGCTTCGATCATCCTAGTTGTGTAGTGCGTGGTGAACAATTGTTTCTATATGACTGAATGACAGTTTCTTATGGCCACTGATTCGGCTGTGCTCAATATGACACTCAAAACCGGTCTTGGACTTGGGTAGAGAAGTCCGAGTGGCACACAAATTGACATACACTACCTACCCATGCTGAACAAGCTGCGTTATAAGACTCTGATTAGCATTCTGTTTTCTTTTCTTCCGTCAAGCAGGACGGAATTCGTGTATCTTCTTTATCAGCAGCCGACCGGTATGAAAGATGTGGCCAATTTCACTAGAGCACGTAAATAGGAAAATGAACTAGTACACGGATGGTAGTAGCCTCAAAGGACACAACAAACAGCATAATCACTGACATAGCGATGTTACTATACAAATACTCAACCAGGTACTTCTTTGTACGGCTGCAGTGCAATACGTTATGACCAGCGCTTATTACCCTTATCTATTTACACCCAACGTGGACCTGCCAAATAATTTAGAGCATACTGCCAGAAAATGCCCCACTGAATATATCGGAGTTACTGTCATTCGTGGTCTTTCATCGTTGATATTCTCCTACAAGTTGCATGTTTAGAACTACGTGTCACAGAGGAAGTACCTCTGCACACATATTCTCCTAACTAGCATAATTATATCCGCTTCCACCTCACGTCCCTGGTCCTGCTTTTTTCTAGGTAATAATCCAGATCTGCTTTCGAAAGACTTCATAATCATTTCAAGATCCATCAAATACCTTTCTCCATGTGGAAGGATTTCCTTAATTAGCTCACCCCACGTATATTACCCATTAAACCCTACTCTTGACAAACTAGTTGGCATAGCTTGTGTATCCCATGATCAATAAGCTGCCTCATCAGGCTCTGACGAGCACTCTAAACTCTGGTCATTGCCAAGCAAGACGTAATTCGCGAGTCCAATTTATCAGCAGAAGACCGGTATGAAAGATTTGGCAAATTTCACAAGAGTAGGTAAATTGGAAAAATGGCGAGTACACGGATGGCAGTGGCCTCAAAAGACACAACAAACAGCATGATCATCAACAGAGCTATGCTAGTATACACATACTCAACCAGGTTATTCTTCGTACCACTGCATTACAGTTTATTATGATCGGGCGATGAAACGGACAAACTCGACGAATGGATGGAAAAAATAGAGAATACCGTCAAAAGCTATTATTGGATTTTTTTGAGTTCGAACGTGGCCTCTCTCGCATGCTGTGTGGCAGTGAATTTTTTAATTAGAAAATTGTGAAGACAGCAGAAACATATCGCGAGAATAACTTAAGGGAACAGCAGGAGGGGCCAGAGTTTGATTTTGTGAAAATATTCCAGAAACAACCATTTAGATAATTATAATATTCTCCAAGACTTGGTTGGAGACCTACGTTACCAAAGCCTCAGACACAATTACCATGTAATTTAACACAGCTGCTCACCTGGTTTCTTGAATCCCTTATATTTCCATGACATTCCATTACTGAAGTGACATGATAACATCGAAACGATATTGACGTTCCGCTTTGGCCAAGATCAGCGATGGAGATCCCACAGATCAAGTTTTATTTTCTTAGATCGTAGTCTACTTGAAAGAATATTATCATACGATACCACCACCTTAAGAAAGAGGTGAGAAACCCAAAAAATTTCAGCAGTAACTTTGAATAAATGGTACGCCATGGGGAAAACCTGAGATAATCAGCCAAAAAGAAATAGAAACTAATGACAAAAAGGACAAAAATTAGTGTTAAAAATTGAGGGGAAAAAATAATTCCATGAAACAAGCTTTGTGGAGGAAATCGAGGACAACACGTCGACGACAAAATGTCAGCCCACCAAATTTTCATTGCAAAATTAGAAAAAAAACGTCGGAAATTTCAACGTTTTATTCGAAAGAAAACTCAAAATAATGTGCCTATTCAGATAGATCTCATACAACGAAGCACACACCGGAAACACGGAGAGAGAACTACCATTCAGTTACAGAAAAAAGGATAAAACAAAATGAATTGCCGGATGAAAACTGCAAAACCAAATTAGGTAAATAAAATGAATGTATAGAAGGAACATGAACTTTTGGATAGAAATGAAGACTCATAGAAGAAAAATATGAAAGAGAAAAAATTAAACCCTTATCACCGCACAATAATGATCTTTCCAATCATATTTCAGGGGATGGAGAAGGTAAATCCACAACAGAAACAACGAGTGAGTAATGATGACACGCGCCTTATATACCGAAAAAAGAAAAACAAGAATTTGTTACCATCTACTTGTACTTAAAGAAAATTACCATCCTCGTTTCCTTGAGCATCCAAATCATTATCATTCCCACCAATCACCACGAACAGACCTCTCAATTACACCCCTGTTTATTCACAGTTCACATTGATCAACAAAAAACAACAATGAGAGTCAACATTCGTTCACTCACATATTCACTTGATCTCTTACGATCAATTGATCACTGATGAAATACATATCCCAATGCATATCTATGCTCACTGTTTTGTGCGGCGTGTGCTGCATGTTTCCGACACGAGCACACAGTTCAGTGTACAAAATTCGTGACAATTGAACATCGAATAATAAAACAGACCGAATACAAACGACTCACTATCGCATCTAATCTATTCTCACCCGTCATATTTCAGGATCATCAACAACTGGGTCTACCACACAAACTACTGGTGAGATATCATAATATGCGTCGTGTGAGATACAGCAAATTCAGATCCAATTGAAATAATCCAAATGCTATCAAATTCTTATCTGATTGTACCATCATCACCACAGTCATATGCATCCAATTAATCAGTTTGCCCAACAGTCCCCTCGAGCAGAATCCGCAATCACACATCTAGTTAATCACAGTTCACAGTGATCAGCATCGATGAGTGTCACTTTGCATTCTTTATTAGTTTCATTCCATGTCGTCCGACTGACTGATCATTGCACAGCTAGTTATCAAAGTCGAAAGATGCTTTCTCTATTTCTAGCAGCCTGTGCGGTATGCTCGTTACACCAATGTGATTTGCTTTATCACACAACAAAATAAGTTATTCAGCACTGAATACTCATGCAAATAAAATGCCCTTAAACCCAGTCTGTATTTCTGTATTTATGATTTTGATGATGCCATTAAGACAAAAATTCTTGGATTGAGAAAATCCGTTTTGTTGATGTGTCAACTCATCTCTATATCCATTATACACAAGGATTTTGTCATTTATCCTAGAAAATGTGCCCGAAGGGTTCAGAAATGCTGATAAACACAATCCTGGAATAGACGCAGGAATTCTAAAGTGGTTTAAAAATCAACGATCTCAGTCGGCGATGACTCGTTTCCCATACTCACCTATGTGCTATTTGTCAGTATCCACTTCACAAGTGATTCGAGAACGAAGTTTACGCAAATTGAACATTCCGATTAGAAACAGAGATCTCGCATTTATCGAAATAGCGAGTTGGCGCAAAGTCCAAAGATTTTTGAGCTGGAAAAATGAAAATATATTTGCGCAAATTGACTCTGGGATAAGCATAAGCCAGATTTCCGATAAAAATTCCAGATCGACAATAGTTGATCAATACTTCTGAAGAATACATATTATTATTTTATTTAGAGTGAACGGGGAATTCAACAAAAAATCTCTAGTCAGTTCATGAGAGTACACTTGCGCGGTTCTTCGAACCCACTTACGAGCGTGTCGAAGCTGCGAAGGTTACTGCGACTGAAAGTAAGCATTTGGAGTGTACAGTTACTCCTAGAGTCTGCAACATATTTGCAGTGAAGAAGGATGAGACAAGTGCCTTGTATGACTGATTGTCCTTTACAAACTCTAGAAGAAACGACTACAAATCCCATCACTTGGAATGCCGGAGAGAATAATGTGATATTTAGCAATGAAGTAAGGTTGAATTTAGACCGCCCCGATAGAACCACGCACTCCTCGGACGACTTAAGGAGCAGCAAGCTGGAACTCAGTCTTCCAGCCTTTTCTGATGGCTCTCTAACGGTCTGAGTGTAACTTTTGAGGTGTGGAAGTCTTATCCCGCTTTTGTAGAAGAGAAACGGATGACTAACTTCTACACCACCACACTGAATGGAATTTTGCCCACAATGATTTCGGAAAATCAGCGGAGTACAGTAATATCTCAAGGCGGTTACACGTACGTCCAAACCTACCCCAATCCGGGTGTTATACCTGCACATCAAATGCGCGTTCTGACCCACCCACGGTCCAGACTTGAACACCATCGAAAATGTCTGGAGTCTGAAAACGAGCAGAGTCTGTGAGGATGAAACGGTCTTTAGAACATTGCACCGGTTGAATTCCTCCATAATCGATAAATGTGATAGCACGGGACTGGAAATCACTCGGAATATAATAGAAAGCATGCCTAGATGTCGTTTCTCATTCGATTTCGATAGAAGACTTTGTATTTCATAACCAGCTGCTTCTTTAGTTTTAAGTAGCATTTCCATCTTCTCGGCCACATTCTCAGAGATGAATTGAATTCTTGTGGGTGCTCCTAACGTCCGTGTACATATTTCACTTCGTAATGGGTGGACACATCACGTGCCAAACTTGATCACCCTAAAATGCTTCGGTTCAGACTTAATAAGAGAAAACGGAAAAAATAGAGAAGATTCAGTAGCATTTCTTGCACTACGCCACAGTCAGAAAAGGAAGCACACACCATCGTAAATAACCCACTCTCACTCGTCATATTTCAGGTGGTTCAACATCTGAATCCACAACGGAAAGCACCGATGAGTAATCACAATACTCAAATTTTATAATACAAATTTCAAAGTACATTTTTCCACTGAAGCCACTATATCCTTCCACTTCAAGAAAATCACCATCCTCGTTTCCTTGAGCATCCAAATCATTATCATTCCCACCAATCACCACGAACAGACCTCTCAATTACACCCCTGTTTATTCACAGTTCACATTGATCAACAAAAAACAACAATGAGAGTCAACATTCGTTCACTCACATATTCACTTGATCTCTTACGATCAATTGATCACTGATGAAATACATATCCCAATGCATATCTATGCTCACTGTTTTGTGCGGCGTGTGCTGCATGTTTCCGACACGAGCACACAGTTCAGTGTACAAAATTCGTGACAATTGAACATCGAATAATAAAACAGACCGAATACAAACGACTCACTATCGCATCTAATCTATTCTCACCCGTCATATTTCAGGATCATCAACAACTGGGTCTACCACACAAACTACTGGTGAGATATCATAATATGCGTCGTGTGAGATACAGCAAATTCAGATCCAATTGAAATAATCCAAATGCTATCAAATTCTTATCTGATTGTACCATCATCACCACAGTCATATGCATCCAATTAATCAGTTTGCCCAACAGTCCCCTCGAGCAGAATCCGCAATCACACATCTAGTTAATCACAGTTCACACTGATCAGCATCGATGAGTGTCACTTTGCATTCTTTATTAGTTTCATTCCATGTCGTCCGACTGACTGATCATTGCACAGCTAGTTATCAAAGTCGAAAGATGCTTTCTCTATTTCTAGCAGCCTGTGCGGTATGCTCGTTACACCAATTTGATTTGCTTTATCACACAACAAAATAAGTTATTCAGCACTGAATACTCATGCAAATAAAATGTCCTTAAACCCAGTCTGTATTTCTGTATTTATGATTTTGAGGATGCCATTAGGACAAAAATTCTTGGATTGAGAAAATCCGTTTTGTTGATGTGTCAACTCAACTCTATATCCATTATACACAAGGATTTTGTCATTTATCCTAGAAAATGTGCCCGAAGGGTTCAGAAATGCTGATAAACACAATCCTGGAATAGACGCAGGAATTCTAAAGTGGTTTAAAAATCAACGATCTCAGTCGGCGATGACTCGTTTCCCATACTCACCTATGTGCTATTTGTCAGTATCCACTTCACAAGTGATTCGAGAACGAAGTTTACGCAAATTGAACATTCCGATTAGAAACAGAGATCTCGCATTTATCGAAATAGCGAGTTGGCGCAAAGTCCAAAGATTTTTGAGCTGGAAAAATGAAAATATATTTGCGCAAATTGACTCTGGGATAAGCATAAGCCAGATTTCCGATAAAATTTCCAGATCGACAATAGTTGATCAATACTTCTGAAGAATACATATTATTATGTTATTTAGAGTGAACGGGGAATTCAACAAAAAATCTCTAGTCAGTTCATGAGAGTACACTTGCGCGGTTCTTCGAACCCACTTACGAGCGTGTCGAAGCTGCGAAGGTAACTGCGACTAAAAGTAAGCATTTGGAGTGTACAGTTACTCCTAGAGTCTGCACCATATTTGCAGTGAAGAAGGATGAGACAAGTGCCTTGTATGACTGATTGTCCTTTACAAACTCTAGAAGAAACGACTACAAATCACATCACTTGGAATGCCGGAGAGAATAATGTGATATTTAGCAATGAAGTAAGGTTGAATTTAGACCGCCCCGATAGAACCACGCACTCCTCGGACGACTTAAGGAGCAGCAAGCTGGAACTCAGTCTTCCAGCCTTTTCTGATGGCTCTCTAACGGTCTGAGTGTAACTTTTGAGGTGTGGAAGTCTTATCCCGCTTTTGTAGAAGAGAAACGGATGACTAACTTCTACACCACCACACTGAATGGAATTTTGCCCACAATGATTTCGGAAAATCAGCGGAGTACAGTAATATCTCAAGGCGGTTACACGTACGTCCAAACCTACCCCAATCCGGGTGTTATACCTGCACATCAAATGCGCGTTCTGACCCACCCACGGTCCAGACTTGAACACCATCGAAAATGTCTGGAGTCTGAAAACGAGCAGAGTCTGTGAGGATGAAACGGTCTTTAGAACATTGCACCGGTTGAATTCCTCCATAATCGATAAATGTGATAGCACGGGACTGGAAATCACTCGGAATATAATAGAAAGCATGCCTAGATGTCGTTTCTCATTCGATTTCGATAGAAGACTTTGTATTTCATAACCAGCTGCTTCTTTAGTTTTAAGTAGCATTTCCATCTTCTCGGCCACATTCTCAGAGATGAACTGAATTCTTGTGGGTGCTCCTAACGTCCGTGTACATATTTCACTTCGTAATGGGTGGACGCATCACGTGCCAAACTTGATCACCCTAAAATGCTTCGGTTCAGACTTAATAAGAGAAAACGGAAAAAATAGAGAAGATTCAGTAGCATTTCTTGCACTACGCCACAGTCAGAAAAGAAAGCACACACCATCGTAAATAACCCACTCTCACTCGTCATATTTCAGGTGGTTCAACATCTGAATCCACAACGGAAAGCACCGGTGAGTAATCACAATACTCAAATTTTATAATACAAATTTCAAAGTACATTTTTCCACTGAATCCACTATATCCTTCCACTTCAATAAAATTACCATCCTCGTTTCCTTGAGCATCCAAATCATTATCATTCCCACCAATCACCACGAACAGACCTCTCAATTACACCCCTGTTTATTCACAGTTCACATTGATCAACAAAAAACAACAATGAGAGTCAACATTCGTTCACTCACATATTCACTTGATCTCTTACGATCAATTGATCACTGATGAAATACATATCCCAATGCATATCTATGCTCACTGTTTTGTGCGGCGTGTGCTGCATGTTTCCGACACGAGCACACAGTTCAGTGTACAAAATTCGTGACAATTGAACATCGAATAATAAAACAGACCGAATACAAACGACTCACTATCGCATCTAATCTATTCTCACCCGTCATATTTCAGGATCATCAACAACTGGGTCTACCACACAAACTACTGGTGAGATATCATAATATGCGTCGTGTGAGATACAGCAAATTCAGATCCAATTGAAATAATCCAAATGCTATCAAATTCTTATCTGATTGTACCATCATCACCACAGTCATATGCATCCAATTAATCAGTTTGCCCAACAGTCCCCTCGAGCAGAATCCGCAATCACACATCTAGTTAATCACAGTTCACACTGATCAGCATCGATGAGTGTCACTTTGCATTCTTTATTAGTTTCATTCCATGTCGTCCGACTGACTGATCATTGCACAGCTAGTTATCAAAGTCGAAAGGTGCTTTCTCTATTTCTAGCAGCCTGTGCGGTGTGCTCCTTACACCAATTTGATTTGCTTTATCACACAACAAAATAAGTTATTCAGCACTGAATACTCATGCAAATAAAATGCCCTTAAACCCAGTCTGTATTTCTGTATTTATGATTTTGATGATGCCATTAAGACAAAATTTCTTGGATTGAGAAAATCCGTTTTGTTGATGTGTCAACTCATCTCTATATCCATTATACACAAGAATTTTGTCATTTATCCTAGAAAATGTTCCCGAAGGGTTCAGAAATGCTGATAAACACAATCCTGGAATAGACGCAGGAATTCTAAAGTGGTTTAAAAATCAACGATCTCAGTCGGCGATGACTCGTTTCCCATACTCACCTATGTGCTATTTGTCAGTATCCACTTCACAAGTGATTCGAGAACGAAGTTTACGCAAATTGAACATTCCGATTAGAAACAGAGATCTCGCATTTATCGAAATAGCGAGTTGGCGCAAAGTCCAAAGATTTTTGAGCTGGAAAAATGAAAATATATTTGCGCAAATTGACTCTGGGATAAGCATAAGCCAGATTTCCGATAAAATTTCCAGATCGACAATAGTTGATCAATACTTCTGAAGAATACATATTATTATGTTATTTAGAGTGAACGGGGAATTCAACAAAAAATCTCTAGTCAGTTCATGAGAGTACACTTGCGCGGTTCTTCGAACCCACTTACGAGCGTGTCGAAGCTGCGAAGGTAACTGCGACTAAAAGTAAGCATTTGGAGTGTACAGTTACTCCTAGAGTCTGCACCATATTTGCAGTGAAGAAGGATGAGACAAGTGCCTTGTATGACTGATTGTCCTTTACAAACTCTAGAAGAAACGACTACAAATCACATCACTTGGAATGCCGGAGAGAATAATGTGATATTTAGCAATGAAGTAAGGTTGAATTTAGACCGCCCCGATAGAACCACGCACTCCTCGGACGACTTAAGGAGCAGCAAGCTGGAACTCAGTCTTCCAGCCTTTTCTGATGGCTCTCTAACGGTCTGAGTGTAACTTTTGAGGTGTGGAAGTCTTATCCCGCTTTTGTAGAAGAGAAACGGATGACTAACTTCTACACCACCACACTGAATGGAATTTTGCCCACAATGATTTCGGAAAATCAGCGGAGTACAGTAATATCTCAAGGCGGTTACACGTACGTCCAAACCTACCCCAATCCGGGTGTTATACCTGCACATCAAATGCGCGTTCTGACCCACCCACGGTCCAGACTTGAACACCATCGAAAATGTCTGGAGTCTGAAAACGAGCAGAGTCTGTGAGGATGAAACGGTCTTTAGAACATTGCACCGGTTGAATTCCTCCATAATCGATAAATGTGATAGCACGGGACTGGAAATCACTCGGAATATAATAGAAAGCATGCCTAGATGTCGTTTCTCATTCGATTTCGATAGAAGACTTTGTATTTCATAACCAGCTGCTTCTTTAGTTTTAAGTAGCATTTCCATCTTCTCGGCCACATTCTCAGAGATGAATTGAATTCTTGTGGGTGCTCCTAACGTCCGTGTACATATTTCACTTCGTAATGGGTGGACGCATCACGTGCCAAACTTGATCACCCTAAAATGCTTCGGTTCAGACTTAATAAGAGAAAACGGAAAAAATAGAGAAGATTCAGTAGCATTTCTTGCACTACGCCACAGTCAGAAAAGAAAGCACACACCATCGTAAATAACCCACTCTCACTCGTCATATTTCAGGTGGTTCAACATCTGAATCCACAACGGAAAGCACCGGTGAGTAATCACAATACTCAAATTTTATAATACAAATTTCAAAGTACATTTTTCCACTGAATCCACTATATCCTTCCACTTCAATAAAATTACCATCCTCGTTTCCTTGAGCATCCAAATCATTATCATTCCCACCAATCACCACGAACAGACCTCTCAATTACACCCCTGTTTATTCACAGTTCACATTGATCAACAAAAAACAACAATGAGAGTCAACATTCGTTCACTCACATATTCACTTGATCTCTTACGATCAATTGATCACTGATGAAATACATATCCCAATGCATATCTATGCTCACTGTTTTGTGCGGCGTGTGCTGCATGTTTCCGACACGAGCACACAGTTCAGTGTACAAAATTCGTGACAATTGAACATCGAATAATAAAACAGACCGAATACAAACGACTCACTATCGCATCTAATCTATTCTCACCCGTCATATTTCAGGATCATCAACAACTGGGTCTACCACACAAACTACTGGTGAGATATCATAATATGCGTCGTGTGAGATACAGCAAATTCAGATCCAATTGAAATAATCCAAATGCTATCAAATTCTTATCTGATTGTACCATCATCACCACAGTCATATGCATCCAATTAATCAGTTTGCCCAACAGTCCCCTCGAGCAGAATCCGCAATCACACATCTAGTTAATCACAGTTCACACTGATCAGCATCGATGAGTGTCACTTTGCATTCTTTATTAGTTTCATTCCATGTCGTCCGACTGACTGATCATTGCACAGCTAGTTATCAAAGTCGAAAGGTGCTTTCTCTATTTCTAGCAGCCTGTGCGGTGTGCTCCTTACACCAATTTGATTTGCTTTATCACACAACAAAATAAGTTATTCAGCACTGAATACTCATTCAAATAAAATGCCCTTAAACCCAGTCTGTATTTCTGTATTTATGATTTTGATGATGCCATTAAGACAAAATTTCTTGGATTGAGAAAATCCGTTTTGTTGATGTGTCAACTCATCTCTATATCCATTATACACAAGAATTTTGTCATTTATCCTAGAAAATGTTCCCGAAGGGTTCAGAAATGCTGATAAACACAATCCTGGAATAGACGCAGGAATTCTAAAGTGGTTTAAAAATCAACGATCTCAGTCGGCGATGACTCGTTTCCCATACTCACCTATGTGCTATTTGTCAGTATCCACTTCACAAGTGATTCGAGAACGAAGTTTACGCAAATTGAACATTCCGATTAGAAACAGAGATCTCGCATTTATCGAAATAGCGAGTTGGCGCAAAGTCCAAAGATTTTTGAGCTGGAAAAATGAAAATATATTTGCGCAAATTGACTCTGGGATAAGCATAAGCCAGATTTCCGATAAAATTTCCAGATCGACAATAGTTGATCAATACTTCTGAAGAATACATATTATTATGTTATTTAGAGTGAACGGGGAATTCAACAAAAAATCTCTAGTCAGTTCATGAGAGTACACTTGCGCGGTTCTTCGAACCCACTTACGAGCGTGTCGAAGCTGCGAAGGTTACTGCGACTGAAAGTAAGCATTTGGAGTGTACAGTTACTCCTAGAGTCTGCACCATATTTGCAGTGAAGAAGGATGAGACAAGTGCCTTGTATGACTGATTGTCCTTTACAAACTCTAGAAGAAACGACTACAAATCACATCACTTGGAATGCCGGAGAGAATAATGTGATATTTAGCAATGAAGTAAGGTTGAATTTAGACCGCCCCGATAGAACCACGCACTCCTCGGACGACTTAAGGAGCAGCAAGCTGGAACTCAGTCTTCCAGCCTTTTTTGATGGCTCTCTAACGGTCTGAGTGTAACTTTTGAGGTGTGGAAGTCTTATCCCGCTTTTGTAGAAGAGAAACGGATGACTAACTTCTACACCACCACACTGAATGGAATTTTGCCCACAATGATTTCGGAAAATCAGCGGAGTACAGTAATATCTCAAGGCGGTTACACGTACGTCCAAACCTACCCCAATCCGGGTGTTATACCTGCACATCAAATGCGCGTTCTGACCCACCCACGGTCCAGACTTGAACACCATCGAAAATGTCTGGAGTCTGAAAACGAGCAGAGTCTGTGAGGATGAAACGGTCTTTAGAACATTGCACCGGTTTAATTCCTTCATCATCGATAAATGAGATAGCACGGGACTGGAAATCACTCGGAATATAATAGAAAGCATGCCTAGACGTCGTTTCTCATTCGATTTCAATAGAAGGCTTTGTATTTCATAACCAGCTGCTTCTTTAGTTTTAAGTAGCATTTCCCATCTTCTCGGCCACATTTTCAGAGATGAATTGAATTCTTGTGGGTGCTCCTAACATCCGTGTACATATTTCACTTCGTAATGGCTCGACGCATCACGTGCCAAACTTGATCACCCTAAAATGCTTCGGTTCAGACTTAATAAGAGAAAACGGAAAAAATAGAGAAGATTCAGTAGCATTTCTTGCACTACGCCACAGTCAGAAAAGGAAGCACACACCATCGTACATAACCCACTCTCACTCGTCATATTTCAGGTGGTTCAACATCTGAATCCACAACGGAAAGCACCGGTGAGTAATCACAATACCTAAATTTTAAAATACAAATTTCAAAGTACATTTTTCCACTGAAGCCACTATATCCTTCCACTTCAATAAAATTACCATCCTCGTTTCCTTGAGTATCCAAATCATTATCATTCCCACCAATCACCACGAACAGACCTCTCAATTACACCCCTGTTTATTCACAGTTCACATTGATCAACAAAAAACAACAATGAGAGTCAACATTCGTTCACTCACATATTCACTTGATCTCTTACGATCAATTGATCACTGATGAAATACATATCCCAATGCATATCTATGCTCACTGTTTTGTGCGGCGTGTGCTGCATGTTTCCGACACGAGCACACAGTTCAGTGTACAAAACTCGTGACAATTGAACATCGAATAATAAAACAGACCGAATACAAACGACTCACTATCGCATCTAATCTATTCTCACCCGTCATATTTCAGGATTATCAACAACTGGGTCTACCACACAAACTACTGGTGAGATATCATAATATACGTCGTGTGAGATACAGCAAATTCAGATCTATTTGATCACAGTTCACACTGATCTGCATCGATTTGTATTGTTAACGTTCACCATCTACATCCAACATTTTTGTTTTTATTTGGACAACTCGTTAAAGAACGCTTTCTTGATCTTTTTTCTGCCTTTCTTTTCCCTTTTCTTTCACGGGGTAATTTTCTCATGCCAAATGCACTTCTTTTTTCGCATTTCTCTGCTTTAGCAACGATTTGAGCCCTCATAGTATTTTTTCCCTTTTTTCCTAACTCTCATCTTTCCAAATTTCATATAGCTGAGTCAGCAAGAGCTACCATTTTTGCTTTTGACGGTTTTTAACTGAATAATACCGCTGAGGTTATTCAGAGTCTTGATCTGTTACCCGGATCTATTTTCACTCCTAATGTTTCAGTTTCCTCAACAGCAGAATTTTTTTGCGCTATCTATCAATGGGTTATGCAGTTATGCTTTTTTGCAATACAACTTAAAATACATGTTATTCCTATTTTTGCTACCCAATATTTTCTTTCCAACGATTCTTGATTGGTCAACTGCATAACCCTTGGATCGTTGTTGTTTTCATCCTTCATCTGTGGCTAATTTGGTAATCGGCGAGTAGGTGAATAATAGTTTCCGCTGTCATTCGATTTAGTGACTAGCTGGAATATAGTTATTCCATTTCATGCGTGGTCTTTTTTCGTCTTGTGCTTTGATTGTGCTTCAAAATCTCGAATTGTGAAGCTATCAGACCGGGACATTTCCTCATGGATTACCACAAGGAAATTATAAGTTTCATCATCATCATCATCATCATCAACAATAACAACAACTCGCTCAAAAGTACCCGTATAATTAATGTAACCTTATGCACACTGTTTCCATAATTCTTGTTGCATGATCCAGGCCATCAATTCCCACAGAAGCCCTCATGTCTTCTGTTCTTTATGGAATTATCCATCTTTTCTCTTTCAGCTTTGTTCTTTTGTGTTTTGTGCATCACAGCTCTTTTCCTATTTATTTGTAGGTGGCGCTGTGCACGTGAGAACCTACTGGGGCATAGTTCTCAACTTACTGGTTCTGAAAATGATCCTATGTTAGATATCCAGAAGAAACCTTTATTTCGAAATAAATTATGCAAGCATTGGCATTCGCTCTCTTGTATCTGGGTCACCGACTTTTTACTGTGTACTTTTCAGGGTCTCTGTAGATAATTTTATATGGTAAACATTTCGCAGCTGTCAGCCAATATCAAGGATATCATTCGCGGTATTCTTCATAAATCCCTGATTCCTCACTTGTGGCTCAAAAACCGAGTAAGCACTTTCTGACGCACACAACTAGTTGGGTCGTGAGTCGATCCAAATTCAGAATTCTCATTCCAAAATTAGATTAGATATATTGGAAAACCGTGGGCGTTTTCTTGGCGATATTCATCACCGAATTATTGGAATGTGCCGCCATAGTCGGAGTAAAAAGACGGTCATCTGTAAACAAAGCAAACAAGGAATACATGATCATGCCTTTTCGACCGATTGAAGCGAACGTCTCAAGGGTTCAGGCAGAAGATTGTAATACACTAGTGAAAATTGTCAATGAGTTTCAGGCATCGTGCATGAAAAACAATGGAGCACACACGAAACTTGTTACATATTGGCGAAAATGAGCTTCGCTTCCGTACATTAGGCATTCTGCAATAGTACATCCTTCTTTCCCACCCTAAAAGTGGTCCAGAAGAATTTTGTTTGTTGTCCCTCAGTAAATATAACTAAGCATTCCCGAGCAGCAGAGCTATTCTTAGCGCAACACAGCTATGTGTACACACAGTCACTTGAAAGACATGTGGAGTCTTAGATAACCATCAGAAAACGCGCACTGTCCAGATCACCGAACCAGTTACATCACCAGCTGTTAGAGTAAAGGTGATATCTCAAGATATATTACCTGCTGCTTGAAGCAATTATTTTTAAATCTGTGAGCTCATGATAAATACAAGCTAACTTTGTAATCCATGGGACACAGTAAATTTGTGGTTCGCCGAATTTTACGATAAAACTGCTCATTTAAATTGCACGGAAAAACTGGCTTTATTTTCATGATCTGCTAGTTCGTTCAGCGCTTCCGATGATACTTTCTTACATCAAACAACGGCAAAACTTTGCTTCCAAGCTCAGTCCACCATATCGGAAAGATAATTTCGAACTGTTCTTCAAAAAGGCTCAATATTTTGGGAGACTGAACACGTTAGGATTGGATTTATACGTGACTAAGTCTTAATTAACTGGTGGACCATCAGCCCGGCAAATAGGTGGCCGATTTACACGAAACGTGCAAGCGGATTTCCCTATATCGAAGGTACAATCTCTCTGTGCCAAGAATACAAGCTGTCAGTCTCAAATAAAAACATTGAATGCATGTTC